TTGGGCTGGGGGAAGTCTGGAGTGATCCAAGAATAGTTGTTTTCATGGGCCCAAAATCCCATGATCCACTAAGGGAAGCACGTGGTCACACGTGCAGGCAATAATCTCTCCCTCCACTTCCCCAAAAAAAGAACCGTTTTTTGAGATTTCTTTCTTTCTTCCTTCCTTTCTTCCTTTGAGTTTACTTTCACTTTTTAACATTTCTTGCGCTTAGTCCTTGGATTCTCTGTTTCCTTCACTTTCCCGGAAAATTTTTACTGCTTCCTACCCCACTTCTCTACTACTTTTACAAGAGAAAATCCCACTTTCCTATTCTTAATCAATTTCTAAGAAGACAGGGAAAACTCGCTATTCATATCTTGATTCCAGGAAAACCCATTTTGGATTCTTTCTTGCCCCTCTTTCATTGATTTCTTGAATCCCAGAAAACCCCTGTACTTCTTTGAGATTTGAGATTCTTCAATGGCGTCAAGGGAGGTTTCTACAATGATAAAGCAAGGGTTTATCTCAGACCCAACAATCTCTCTTTCCTTTTCTCCGTCAAGAACCCCACCTCAGTCAACAACAATAACAATACCCAGAGTTTATTCTCCTTCCTCTTCTCCTCCTCCTGATTCAGCTCGTCCTAATTGTAACCCTACCCTCTTCGAGATGATGTCCGAGGAGCATATTCGTGACTCCAAAAACATGGAAGAAACTCGCAAGAAAACCCAGACCCAGGTGGCCAAATTTCTCACTGAGCTTAAAAATACTAGCTTTACCAACTGTGAGCTCGGATCAGGTGATGTGAAGCTGACGGTGGTGTCTAGAGATGGGTTTAGAGTGTCAATGGATGTTCATAGGAGGGTTTTAGCAGAGAAGAGCAGGTTCTTTGCGGAGAAATTGAGCCGGAGAAAAGAGAAAGGGGTGTCTCATACAGTGGAGATCAGCGAGTGTGATGATGTGGAGGTGTATGTGGAGACTGTTGTTTTGATGTATTGCGATGATCTAAAGAGGAGGTTGATTGGTGAGGATGTCAACAAAGTCTTGGCTTTGCTCAAGGTATACATTTATCAACTTATTTCTTGTCTTTATCTACACTTTACTTTTAATTACAATACTAGTCGGGAGAGGGAAGGAAAGGAAGGGGAAAATGGGGGTTATAATGTTATTGCATGCTAATTCTGCTTCCTTGTAAGTTAGTGGACTGTTGTTTTATGCATTGCTTAGTTTGTGTGTTGGTGACAATGTTGAGGGAAAGCCATGGGGCTTCTAACATTTTGTGTTATATTTTTGTTTTCCTTGGCTTAATTTCTAGCAATTCTTTTTTGAGATTTTGCTACTGAAGTTTGTTGTTTTGGCAGCTATAGTTGATGTGATGAGTTGTTTTGTTGCTATGAGAAAGGAAATTTATTTTGCTTCTGTTCTGTTTAGGTTGTAATTGATAATTTTGTACTGCTTTTGAATTTTTATCTCTTCTTTTTGCCCCAAATTTCCTCAGGATTTTCTATGAACTATAATACATCTGCCTAGTTTTTGGCTGAATTCAACTTGATTATGGCATGGTTTATTTGTTGACTTATTTTTTTGGATGTCAGAATTTGACTCAAATAAGCCTGTCTTTTTTTTTTTTTGCATTGTCTGCATTTAGCCTCTCATGCTTTTCTTTTTTCTTTTTCTGCATATAAAAGAACATCCAGTGTAAGATTCAAAACTTACTTCACTAGATATTTCTTGCTTTTATTGGAGAACTGATAAGAAATGTTAAAGCACAAATCCAATTCTACTTCCTCAATTTCTTAACTTATCATCAATCTTATGCCCAATATAAAGGATGTTTTCTTTTTATTTTCCTTATGTCAGATCAGCTGTAAATGAAATATATGTAACACTAGTGATATGATGTAGGTTTGTGCAGCCATTATGTTTGATGTGGGAATTATGTCATGCTTGGAGTATCTTGAAGCTGTCCCATGGTCTGAGGATGAAGAAGAGAAAATCATATCTCATCTCACTGAACTTGATCTTCATGATTCGGCAACTGAAGTCCTGCAGAGAGTATCATCTGAACCATCTACATCTGCAAGAGCAGATGATATCTTCTTGAAACTGCTTGGTGGGGTTCTACAAGCCAAAGATGACAAAGCACGTAGAGAAATGAAAGCTCTAATTTCGCGGCTACTTAGAGAAGATTCCCCTGATAATGAAAATAGGCTCGATGTCTCCAGAAATATTCTTTATCATCTCTGTCATAGATGTATAAGTTCTCTTGTACTCTCACTTTCAGAAGCTTCTGGCAAAGATGATAACAGGAGAGATAGAGGGGCTTTGATGGCTGACATTGCTCGAGAAGCTGACAACTTGCAGTGGATTGTTGATATTCTCATTGACAAAAGAATGGCAGATGAATTTGTGAAATTATGGGCAGATCAGAAAGAACTCGCTGTTCTCCATTCAAAGATTCCCACCATGTACCGGCATGAAATCAGCAGAATCACTGCCCAACTGTGTATTGCAGTTGGGAGAGGGCAGATATTGGTACCGAAAGATACCCGGTTTTCACTGCTATCCACGTGGTTGGAGGCACTTTATGATGACTTTGGATGGATGAGAAGGGCCTCTAGATCCATAGATAAGAAGTTGATAGAGGATGGACTGAGTCAGACAGTTCTTACCCTGCCATTGAGGCAACAACAGTTGATTTTGCTCAATTGGTTTGATAGATTTCTGAATAAAGGAGATGACTGCCCCAACATCCAAAGAGCATTTGAAGTTTGGTGGAGAAGAACTTTCATCCGGCAATATGCAGCTGTGCATGATAGTTCTCAGTTGCAATTGGCCCTCTGTGGTTATCCAAACTGAAAGGTATGTGGGAAGACATAATCACAATGTATATGTTATAAATGTGGCTCGACATTCTTTTCCTTAGCTCATCAATTCATAACTTTTTGTTTTCCTATGATGCTGGTGCTTGGTGGATTCTTTTTCACCGTTGAGAATCTTTGTGATGTACAATGTAGAAATAAGTGGATTCATAACCAATGGAAACAATTAACTTCCATTGGTTTTTTATGATGTTCTTGTGTACTGGGCACATGGTAGTTCCATGGTCGCAGATGGTGACCTTGTAAGAATACAATTCATATGCAAGGAATTAAGTATTGATTTCAGGGTTCATGGAGGATTGATCCAATGTAACTTTAGAAAAAATAATTGATACACATTTCAGTTCAACATATGTAACAATACTCACTGGTTCAATTATTAAAAAAATTAATATTCTTAAATTTAAATTCAAGGTGAAAAAATTTTCAAAAGTAAATTTTAATGATTGAATCGTTAGGTGTTATTAAGTGTGTTGAACTGAATGATATACTAATAATTTTTCCTAACTTTATTGTTCCATAAAATGGGGATTTTTGGATCGATTTCATATTTCCATTTGTGGTCTAAGAACTTCAAAAACCATATCAAAAAAATAAAAAAATCTCGTTTTCGTCTCTAAAAACAGGCTGCAGGATCCATAAAATAGAAGACCTGTATGATATTCTATTGATGAAATGCTTGGAAAAATTATGCTATATACAGGACAGCTCGTCTCTCTGGCCGTTGAAAATAACATAACAATGTCAAATTGGGTGAGACCAACATGTTTGATTTGCTCTCTTTTGAGAACATTAACAGGTATCAATCGTCTGCCTGACAGTAGGGGAGTTTTGTAGGGTTGTGAAAGTTGAAACACTCAAATGCCAAGGTCATGCCTGCAACCCAGTACATCAAGAATATTGGGTGTGGTTTTTCTTCTTCTTCTTTTTTTTTTTTTTTTTTGCTGATTCTGGCAACTTCTGATTGGAGTCACTGATGCACAATCACCATGCGCAATGTACATATCTCAGTTTCACAATCCTTTCGGAGTTAAAGAACTCAAGATATAATCGGATCTGGTCCATAGTTTAGCATTGGAGGTGCATCAACTCTGCAAAAAGAGAAAACAATTAGCTATACGCTTCTAGCATTTTAGCGAGTATAATATTCTGTGTGATATTATGCAAATTCAGTGGACCATACGCATGTTTGTAATACAAAAGGTAAATAATGTAGTCCAGGGTCATGTTGGTTTGTTGAATAAATATTACCATGTGGCTATCATTGAGAAATAAAGTAAATAGAGGGTGACAAAGTAGAGATGGTTCTGAGCTAATTTTTCATTAAGTTGAAATAAGAAACTAAGTATTCCAGCTCATAATAAATAAAGTAAAATAGAAGATCATAATATTGCTACTTACTTCTGCATAACTTTAAGCATTCCAGTGCCCATCTGCATTGGGATGCCCATGATGATACATTCAGAAACTCCCTCAATCTCGTCGACTCTCCCATGAACAGAAGCATTGAAAAGGTGATCAGATGTCCTCTCAAATGATGCTAACATCAATACACTCTTACCCATTTTTTGGATGCCATATCTATTGATTCCAAGAACTTCACCCTGTCACGATAATCATTAACACACTGTTTTACATTATCCTCAAAATTGCATGCCTTGCACGACAGGGCAGAATCTAAAATTGCTTCGCACAGAAATAAAAAAGGAAAGATAATCTAGTATTTTTGCACTCAGTTCCAACTGATAAGAGAAATGCATGCAATAGTAGATACATTACCCTAAATGTCATTGTATCTGCTAAAAGCATCATGTGGCGGATGTCTATGCTCATTCCATGATTCTCCATGGTTTCTTTTATCTCATTGATTATGCACGTTCTTGCAGCTTCAATTCCTAGTATCTGCTGGACTTCCATGACATGGTTACTCATTGTCTTCCGTCCATCAATTCCATCAATGCCCATAACTGCTCGAAGGCCCATGCTAAAAGAGTGCAAAAGATGCTGTAAGGGTTGGGAAAAAGAACTTGCCTAGAAAATTACAAAATGCTGCAAGATGCATTATTTTTCCACGACAATGAACATCATAAAATCATAGACATGAAAGCCATATCAGAATATCCAATTCTTTTTTCTGTTGTCTTGCTGTTTTGGTCTTCCGCTGGAATTTAAGTAACTCTTTGCTCGATGAAAAAAGAAAACATTTCTCCATTACAATAAATAGCAGTAACTATTTGGCCTACACAGTGGTATATTACTTAGATCATTATGCTTCTATGTTAAATATCACAGACTCACTGCGTATGGGGCTGATTGTACTTACTTAGGGATATCTGGGGTTTTCTTAAAAAAAAGAGAACTTTATTCCCAGGGTCAATTTTTTTCCAATCACTTATATACGCATGTAATTGAAACATCGTTTAATAATCAAACAAAAGATTTTCTCCTCCACTTAGTGTCTTTGAATCCTCTTCATGGTCCAGAGCAATCCCACTAATTTTCCCAAACATGTACGGTGTTAGTTTGAGGTTTATGACAAACATTTGGCATATTGATTTTCCAAATGAGAACTAAATTCAAAGAGACCACATATAGCAAAAAAGTTAAAACAACTAACCCTTCTACTAATAACTGGTATTTCTTTTTCACATCTTTTGCGTTTTGATTCTTCTTCTCATCCTTTTTCTCAGCAATAACAGCACGTTCAACGGTTTTTATGCCCTGCAGCCACAGATAACAAACTAAGCACACTTTTCCTTTATATAGTAACAACCATAGACTATCTGAGGTCTCACCTTTACTACCACCAGAGGAAGTTGATTTTTAAGAGAATGGAGATCAAAATGGATTTTGCTTCTGGAATTGTCTGGCTTAACTTCTAACTTTCTACCACCCCTAATAACTTCAATATTCTGCAGAGTAACACATGACCATCAGATGCTAAGCACTTGATATCAGTATTAAGACAACTAATAGGAAGCCTTACCTCAGACTTTATTTTAATGGGAGATTGTACAATTGATTCTTTTACACTATATGCATCTATACGCAATTCTGCCTTTTGAATTCTTTCCATGTCGAGTGTTATTCTTATTGATGCTGATCTTGAAGTCATTACATTCTTGATGCTCTTAGAAACCTTCATTAAACCAAGTTTGTCAACAATGAGAACAAAATCAAACATGGGAGAGATTAAAAGGAACATAACCATATAGGTCAGATGGAAGAGTTCTGCACTCGGCAGTTAAAAGTCCAATTATGAAACCAATATTCTAAGGCACTAAAAAGAATAGGTTGACTGCTGACAGTACAAGCAAAACACCATTTATCCTCTGATTTATGAATTTATGCATTATATCCTGAGAACTGTAATAGTAAAATAATAGCAAAACAAGCATAAAATTTTGCTAAATAAATTATTTAATACCTGCCCCAGAACGGTTTTCTCAATTTGGCCTTTAACCATTCGAGCCTTGTTGACATTATCAGGGACCTCAAGTTCTGCAGTAATAATGGGAGTACTTATATTTTTTGCTGCATTTATGATTTCTTTAATACGAGGAACTCCCTGGGTTATATCTTAAACAGAATTAAGGCATGATGGAGAAAATCCATACATGGCTGAAGACAATAAAGGTAAATGGTCATTCAAGTGAAGGAAATCAATAAGGATACTCATGCTGGCAACTCCAGCAAAATGAAATGTCTTTAGTGTCATCTGCGTCCCTGGTTCACCAATACTTTGAGCTCCAATAGCTCCAATGGCAGTTCCAGCTTCAACAACTTTAGAATGATAACGAGACAGGCAGGTTCTTATAAAAACCTATAAATTTGTTAAAAAGAAAGTACATTAGACAGGCAAATTTAAAATATGAAATAAGGTATTCAAGACATCATACCAGAAAAATCTCTTTTTATTTTAATCTTTCTTCTTTTTTTTTTTTGTGCCTTCTACCAGAAAAGTCATTGACATTCAAGAACATGACATGTGCCACATACACCCATGAATCTATACAACTCAACAAAAATGCCAGCATGAATAAAATTCTCTACAAGATATCATTACTTACCTCCAACTGCTTGCCAGTAATGCCAGAAATCTTATGACCAATATTTTCAAGAATCTCTGATTTATTCTCCCCTGAAAAATTTTCAAGTGACTCCAACGTCCTCTTTAATTTGTCCTTTTCCTTTTCAAGGAAGCCTCTCAGAGATTTTATGAAAGCTTCAGAGCACACCCCAGCAGGACCATGTTTACCCAGCTGTTCTTCAACAAATTTTGAAATCTCTTGAGGAGACAAATATTTGTGTTCTCTAGGAGGACAGGTTGCCTGTAAGGAAAATTGAAGATGACATGAATTTCAAGCTCCCCAACAATCATGCAAAACTCATAAAAATGCTTAAATGGAAAACGGAACCCAGTTCCATACCTTTACTTTCATTAACAATCTGTTAAAATTCAAAGGAAATCCATTCTTCCCCTCCATATATGCAGGGTCCATGCCATCATCTCCATAAATGAACTGAACTATACACCCACCTGCAGTGCGTACAGTGTTATCATAATGAACATTCAAGTCTTCCAATGCCTTGATCAGCCTACGAGACATGTACCCTGTATCAGCGGTTTTGACCTGCAACCATAACAGAGTCAACAGAAAATGCTTTAAGCCAAACCATGCTCCTTCAATCAATGAGAATAGTTGAATTTCAACTGGAACTCAGATTTTCAGGCATATTGTATAAGTAATATACATGATGATATCATGGCAAAACTCTCTGCACCACAGAATATTTCCTGACAAACTAAAATGAAACCATTTTAATATGGATCATGCCTAACAAAACAAATACCAAAGCTATCGCACAAGCTTCAACAGATCAAAAAGGAAAAATGATTATCCCCAGAATGAATACAAAAGTCCTACGACTGGTGATCGATTTCTATTTTGAAAACCATATATATGATAAGAGTGCCCATGCTGAAAATTTTAACAAATTCATCCAGCTCCTCTCAACAAACCATGTACATGATCCATGTCTCCTCTTAACAAATTCATCAATTCTAAGTAAAACACCTAATTTGAAATGCACAAACAGCAAACAATATATACCAAGCATTAGTTTGACAGCAAATACAAGCACAAGCAGCTTATTGGCCACCATAACAGCAAGATACCCTGAAACAACTTCTTTGACTGCAGAATTTTCTTACCGCTGTGTCAACAAGGCCTTCTCGCCCACCCATTGTGTGAAAGAAAAATTCTGTAGCTGTCAAACCACTATAAAATGAATTTGCAACAAAGCCTTTAGCCTGCAACAACGAAGTGCAGAGTTCTCTAACATTATGTTCAGAACTGAAAACGGAAATTATTTCCATTGCTGATAGTTCTTATGTTTAGCACATTCAATAATTAATTCTACAACTCAATTTAATTCATCTATAGACAAAACTCCTTGGATTCACTACCTGACAGCTTGCAAATTTTACATAAGCTTTGGGTTATTAGATACTAGGTAAACCAAAATGCTATAAATGTGGTGGTATAAAATATTAGAAGCACATATTCTGATTACTTATCACCTAAAATCTACATCATGTGCACTAAGAATCAGATGTGAAAAGATGCATCCACAAAAGTTCAATTAGTTAAATGATCGACACCTAAAAAGAGTCAAACTGAACTTACAGCAGGGGTTTTTGATTTTCTAGGAAAATGGGGAAGGCTACGATCTATAAATCCATTAGGTGCACGACGACCGCCAACAGACTGCTGGCCAACACATGCAATCATTTGGCTAATATTGATAGGAGATCCTTTGGAACCGCATTGTGACATGATTAATGGACTATTTCTCCAATGTAGTTCTCTCATGCATACCTGTTTTAGAGATAAAAAATTAAAGTAATACAAAGAAAGCATTTTAACCACAGCAGTCCTAGGCACCAAAACTCCTGACAATTTGCAAAAGGCACAAGGAGATGGAGTAAGCATAATGAATCCACTACTATAACACTCTTTTAGCAATCCTAATTTTCAAAACAAATATCATGAAGCTAACCATCAATGAAATGATCTTAAAAGAGAGCACAAAAGATATGCTATATCATAAAAGTGACTAATACATCAAAATGGAAAATGCCAATTTTTTTAAAGAACAACAAAATCTACCTTCCCAGTTTTATCTCGAATTTGATTCAATATTTCTGTGATATTAGCCTCTAATGTTTGAGCAGCATCACAACCAGGCTTCAGCTCAAGCTTTCCTTCATTGAACTTCTGTATTTGTTCATCACATTTTTTATAATCTCCTGAAATTGTATTTGCTTTCTCATCAGTCAAAGTTTTTTGTGGTTGGACGTCATCAATCCCAATTGAGAAGCCATGATTTCCAATCCATCGTGCACTGCACAAAACATATACAAAGAACATTCATGAGAACATAGTTGCACGCATAGTCTTCCATCCACGTTATCTCAAATTGAAATTTTACTAAAATATCAAAAACGTAAATATTAAAGAAAATGAAACAAGTGCCCCCCCCCCCCCAAAAAAAAAATTATATATATATATATTATATAAAAGCATTATGTGAATCTCTAGCATTCACAGGGGACCCAGTATTTAACAGAAATTTTCTAATAGCAACAAAAGCATTCAACTAATTTAGAACAGCCCTAACAGTCAATGAAATATTTGTCCTAGATTACCTCAGTTTTGCAAGCCGATTCATGCAAGCAGCAGCAGCATGCGGGTTGTAGTCTCTGAGAAGAACAGAATAAAGTCCATCTTTGTTGCCATTCCCTGGGTTATTTTACATACATAAGAACCAGAAATTTGGTTTTGAGACACCAAGAACCTAGATAGAAAACTTAAGCCTAATTTTCAATAATATATTACTAAACACGATATTTCAAGATCACCAATGATTATATCATCGCATAATCTAGAAAAAGTTACTGAACAGAATCTGGTTGGTGCTACTTATAACTGAGGTTTGGCTCATTAAAAGCTATCATCAAAATCTTACAACCTTAAAAATTATTTATATCATTAAGCATCTCTTTTTATCAGCATATCAAGTTTAACCATATTAAACTCATGGGTTTGACCAAAAAGAGTTTAGTTGAATTGGTATCACTTAAATTCAAAACCATGGTCGTTGGATTGATAGGGGATTCAAATCTCTTCAGTTGCTAAGCACTAACTTTTCTGATAAAAAAAGCAAAAACAAAAAAAAGGGGTTTGATCTTAAATTCCGTAGAATTGAGCTATAAGCAATCAAGCACAGTTACAGGGTAGTTCAAAAAATTGTCATGTAAACAAGTCATGCCAATCTAGGACCCCATACGAGGGAAAACAGAAAATGAATGAAGAATTCATGAAATTGAAAGGTATAGCTAGCTCCCCTCTTTACCATGTATATAGTCTATATATAAGAAAGAAACTAGCTTACTTCGCATATCTAGTCTAAGGAATGAAGTGAAGCTTAGATCATAAAAGACAAATGCAAATGGGAAGAAAAAGGATTTATAAAGACAAAGGTTTCATAATTGCAAGTTGATCTCTTAGAGAAACCCATTCAATTTATGCTTTACAAAATAGAAACAATTGGCAATATTTATTCTATTTGGACCTTTCTTTTTTCAAAATAACAAAGTCAAGTTAACAAAATGACATGATAGAAGTCCTACATACATACATACATACATAGCTACATACTTTTTTTTTATGATTTTCTATTTTACAACTTATCAGAAAATGCATTAAATAAACAAACTCAAGGCAATCAATTAAAGAGATGCACATACCAAGAAAACTCACCTAAAGTAGCCTTCCCCAGTTGGCCACACATCAGCTCACTATTCCGGAAGTATACAAATCCATCATTAGGGCACATTGTTTCTACTTCTATTTCTTCACCTCCAATGCTTTTAATGATCTTCTTGGAGTAGGTTCGCTCCTTAACTGTACAATTTAAGTAGACCCTCACACTTGCATGAGGACGCAGCAGAACACTGAATAATTGCTTACCAGTCCAGAGTTCTACTGGCTGCATGACAAGAATTCAAATCACAAATAGAAACCCAAGTAGCCAAAATACCACGGATACATGTCAACTGACCAATTCAATTCCAAGGATTGGAGTTAGAACAAATTGTATGAATCCAATTATTAGAACACAAGAAACAAGGTGAAACTATGTCGAAAAATTAAGAACATGAAACATTAAATCTAATTGAAAAAAGGATTTTGAGGAAAGAACTATGATCTAAATCATAAATTAAAGAAAATATTTATACCAAGCTTTCAGATAACTAATCAAGATGTGTGTCTGCGAGTAGATCATATCATACAGAAAAACTACTGCAATATCTTTGTGCGCAAATTTACCTTAAGTATTGCTGGTGTTGGCAGATCTATGGGGTCCATGCTATCACCCATATAGGAACACATAAGTGAAAAGGTTGCCCGGTCATAGAAAGTATCCTTCCTTGTTATGAGAAAGGAAGATGTTAAAAAATCTTGAGTGGAGGCAACGAGGATTTCCCCATTTTTTGGTGTACAGAGATTGTTTTGCACCTGGGAAACATCCAGAAAATTCAAATAGAACAGTACAGCATATCAAAGAGCAACACAGGACAGGGTAATCACTTCATAATCAATGCTTTTGAATGAAAAGTAAGGACCATCATGCAATTCTTTTTCTTACTTTTACGAAGAAAAATAAGAAAGCAAACTACATTCACAAGCAAACACCAGTGGGCTCAAATGCACAAAAGATATGAAGTCTGTACTTTTAATCTTCCCCTTCTAGCATGCATGGCTATTCAGGCTTTCTTTAAAATACTTAGTAATAAAAGCTAATGAATTAGGTAATCTTTATCAAATTCTTTAGCCTTTTGTTGGATCCCTGGAAAACAAGACAGATAAATAACCTAAAAAAATTTGGAATGTTGCATTTCACGTGCCAATAGACTTGAAATTTTGTACCAAAAAAATGATGGAAAGTAACTAGTTGGACATGTTTAAAATCCTACAAATTCTTCAGGGACTCAATTGATAAACTTTTGGGGGTGGACAACATAATTCTCTAGGGACTACTTATGTATTTAGCCTAGTTGAGTTTAGCCTTATTTGACCAAATTGGCCTATTGAGGGGCTTAATGGGCAAAAAATAATTTAAGGGCTTAATTGAGAAATTATTGAAAGTTTGGAGTGATAAAAAGCTTACTCCCATCAACATAAGTGCCTCTGTTCGAGCCTCTTCTGTTTGGGGAACATGCATATTCATTTCATCACCATCAAAATCAGCATTATATGGATTACAAACAGACTCGTTGAATCTCAATGTTCTCCATGGCATAATTCTTGCCTGCACACACAATATATAAAGGGAACATGTCAAGCAACCAGTAAGAAAAGGTAAAAGATTGATTTTTGTGTTCACAACCAATCACAATTACCCTATGACACATGATAGACATTCGATGCAAGCTTGGTTGTCTGTTGAAGAGAACAATGTCTCCATCTTCCAAATGGCGATCAACCATACAACCAAATTTTAGTTCATCAGCAATGCGCTTTCTGTAATCACCTACCAAGAGCCTGCAGCATAAAATAGTATTTCCT